ACTATAGATAGTAATGCGCTTAATAATTTTTATTTAATTAAACAATGTACCAAAGAAAATAGACTTTTTAAGCTGTTAGAGCTAGACAGGGTAAAAACAGACAGCAGGGTTAGGATCTTAGCAATTATTTGTCTTTTTCTCTATATTTTTCATTATATTTTTATTTTGATCACATGTTCGAGCAACTTTGAAAACTGCCAGTCTAGAAAGGATTAGATATGAAGTTATCACACCATAAAATAATGAATGGACCAGTCATTATATTATCAAACTAAATACTGCATCTTAGCCCTTTTAAAATGGGTACCCCCTTTAAATACTTTTATTTGCAAGTCACTGTGCTACATTCAAAATTTAATTAAACACCTTTACCAGCAACCTATGTGAATTCAATTAACATTATAGTGTATGTTATGATTTGAAGTTTTATGTTATTTATGTTTTCAGTCCTTTATTTCAAAAGAAATCTTTAAAAACTACTTAAAACTTCAGATGTATTGTCACATGACCAATGAGCTATGAAAATTCTCTATGTTGGTACTCTGTATCTGCAATAATACAATGGCAGTTGTGTAGATGTACATCTTGACTATAAGAGACTTACTTAACCTATTGACACGCACATTTCAAAGATCTCTGAATGAATGCAGTTGAAACAAGTACTAAATTTTGTCAGCTCCTGACAGGTGCTGTGCCCACCCTTAGCTGATTTATTTGAGCTTTATAGCCTACTTGTTGAGGTTACATATGCACATATATAGTCATTCGAAAGAGCTCATTTTACACTATAATATAACAATGGTTATTTTGAAACTGGCACGCATTTGTTATCAGGGAGTACATGTAACTGACTGCAGTATTGTTGGCTGCTTGATCAACTGTAGCACTTGCAGTTCTTTCTTTCCTAAGTATGTTATAATTAGAGATGTAGTTAAATTGTACTTAGGTCTTTTATATTTTAATCAATTATGTATTAGTTATGTTTTAAAATGCATAATTGAAAGGCTTGAACATTTTTTATATGATATTTTATATTTTTTTGTGATGAACACTCGGAGTTACCATGTGTTTTTTTGCATAAATGTCCTTCCCCAATCTATGTGATATAAAATGCAACAGCCCATACAGAAAGGGCTAAGGATGAAGCACATAGATCTTGGCTTAATGTTGTGATGCACAGATGTAAGTGGTTGTATGAAATTATCACAGTATACTACTCTAGATGTTTGTGTTAGTAAATACTGTATCGCGTCCAAACACACACTACTATATTGTATCTGTGTTGTTGCTTTTGTTGAAACTTTTATTATTGCAACAGTATTGAAAAAAACTATTTTAATCACAGGGATTTCAGGAACAAATGGAAAACAGTGCAACAGAAATCATGGACAAAATTGACAGTGTTCGAACATCATCTAAAGGAGAAGCAGAGAAGCTGGGACATTCAGTAAGTTTTGCTCTGAAATCTCATGATCTTTTCAGCTGGGACTTTTACAGAGAAATACACACACATGTATATAGTTTTTTATCATAAATAGTCAGAATTTTGTAAAGACTTGAATGTAATTAATATGTTATTGTTTAGTAAATACATCATAACATACCAACAGACTTTTTGTGCAAAACTGAATGTGATATTTTAATCAAAAAAATGTGTTAACCCAGGTTTTCAGAGTTTAAGATAATTTAATTGCATGAAATATCTTACTTCTGTCCTCATATATCTAAGAAATTTAACTTTCTTTAGAAAAAAAAAAAGATACTGAAATGGATTGTGCTCAATGAAACCTGAAGTAATAATATAAATTAAGATAAATTTTTCATCTTGGGAAAACTTCATGCAGGAAAATAGATTACTGAAGCTATGTATCATAATATTAACCTTTAAGTAATAGGTCTTGTATTTAATGTTTTCATAACATAAGGCCTGGTATGGCCAGGTGGTTAGGGCACTCGACTCGCAATCTGTGGGTCTCGGGTTCGAATCCCCATCCCACCAAACATGCTCGCCCTTTCAGCTGTGGGGGTATTATAACGTGACGGTCAATCCCACTATTCGTTGGTAAAAGAGTAGCCCAAGAGTTGGCGGTGGATGGTGATGACTAGCTGCCTTCCCTGTAGTCTTACACTTCTAAACTAGGGACGGCTAGCACAGATAGCTCTCGTGTAGCTTTGCTTAAAATTCAAAACAAACAAACAAAAAATCATAACATAGTTGGTCAGTTTGAACTTCTAGAGGTTAAACAAATTTTGAAATATTTTTTTCAGGTTTCACAGTTGGTGAATTACTTCAGTCCACTTGTTCAAAGTGCAATTGGAAGTGCTTCCAAAACACAAAGTTCTAAACAACAAATGGCTTTGCTAGATCAAACAAAAACTGTTACTGAATGTGCATTGCAGCTTGTTTATGCAGCTAAAGAATCTGGAGGAAATCCAAAGGTAAGCATTTCATTAGCAAAACTTGAGTGATAAGTTAAGCTACTAACATATTTTACATTCAAACCTTATTAAAGTACTGTTATCTTTGCCCCAAAATTTACACTTTGGTGTATTACCACTATAGTTTTGTGTGTTATTGAATGCAGTAAACTTTACTGAGTTGTTCTATAATAAAGAAAATAATCGAAATATATGTTTTATTATTGTAAAAGTAACTGTCTGGTTCTGTAGTCTGTATGTCTGTTAGTGTTATGTTTGGAATACAGAAAAGATGATCCTGAGTAAAAGAGGAGTATGTGAAAATATCAGGTTGTTAACTTAGTATTAAAAATCTAAAACATAAATTTAGTACTTTTTATGAATATAAAAAACAATTGTCATAAGCTTTTAGAAAAACTTTTTTTCCTTTAATTTTTCTAGGCTACTCATGTTCATACGGAGATTGATGATTCGGCAGATGCAATGCAAGATGCTTTACATGACCTTCTACACACTTTGGAAGCTGCAGCTACAGAGGCTGGAATAGTGACAGGGTTGGTTGAGTCCATCAATAAAGCAGTTGCAAAGGTAAAGTTTTATTTTCGGATCTTAAAAATAGAGATTTTTTGGGATGGTGACATGTTTAATTATATCATATTTTTTTATATAATTGAGTAGTCAAAATTACTGATGGGGGAAATAGTTCAGTTTATAATTGATAAAAGGTGAAAACGTTTCAGTAGACATTTACTATGTTTTTAACTTTTCTTATTTTCAATAACTATTTTGAATAAAACCAAGCATAGGCTATGAGAATTGAAAGATCTGTGTTAGGATGTCCTTTAAGAAGCCTTTGTTATTGTGATAATGTAACTGAGTATTCAAATTGAAATTTGCCAGTATACTTGCTTTACAAGGATATTTTATTCTCTAATTTTTTATACCTTCTTCTGTTTCCTCTAGTAACTTATATTTTGTATTTTCTTTCAGTACTGTACAAGAATTCACTTAATTTTTAAATTTGTATGAAATGTGCAATTTTTATGTCCCCACTGTGAAACAGAGCATATTGGTTCATTCCTGTCCTTCTGTCCAGATTTCTTGGACAGTGTCTCAAGATTGGGCGGATGTATTTTGACCAAACTTATACAATAGGTATTAAAAAAAATTTCTAGGCCTAATTAATTTTTCAAGGTCAAAGCCAAAGTGGGAGCATAAATGTTTCATAAATACACTGGACTTGTTTTTTTCATTAAGAAAATGTTCATGTTTATTTATTTTCTTACACAGCCAATATGAAAGATCCTTTCTCACAAAAGCAAGTGCCATTTTATATAGATAAAACAACACAATGTCTGTAGAGTGTACGTCTCAATTACTGTAGTTGTAAATAAATTCTTTTAAGCCTACCATCCATTATTATATACTAGAAATTGAAAACCCTCTTTATGTGCTCTTATATATGGTTATATATAACTAAGCATTATAAGTCTTATTACATAGATAATTCAAAGAAGTGACTAAAAAAGGGTTTGGTAGCATTTGTTGTTTTAAGTAACAAAAACAGTGTAAATTACTGTTAATGTCTAAGCAAATGAAAATAAATATTTTGATAAAACATTTCACTGTAATCTTCACATACTGAGACAGACACCATTTACTCTAGGTCTCAGTTGTCTAGAACTACTAGTTAACCTTTTTTTTTTGTGTGTGTAGGTTGACGAACATGTGAGTGTCACTGAAACCGTTTCCTTTGCTGACTACCAAACTCGAATGGTGAATGCTTGCAAGGAAATTGCCAGACTTGCCCAAGAAATGGTATAGTACTATTTTTGGTACTTTAAGAATTAATAAATATATACATGTTTATAGATCTTAAAGGTAACTTTTTTTATATATAATATTAAGTAGAATAAAAATTAGCTAGGTATATATTCTCACAGAAGTTTTGAAAATAGAATAATAATATTCAAATCCAGTTAATACATAGTTAATGTATATTTATTTTGATCACCACACACATTTGAGATTTCTTTTTCTGTCTCTATAGCAGGTCTCTAAATGTCTGTTTATTACTGTCGTTAATACTGCACATTAGTTTCCTCATTCTCATAAGCTTAGAAATAAAATTTAACAAGTTAACTAGAAAGCTCAAGTATTGAATTCAGTTTCAGTTTAATAAAATTAACAGCAATGGTTCCAATTATTTTTCATTTCTCTTTTACAAGAACCAACAGCAGCCATTGTTGTGGCCCCTTGTGTGGGATACATTTTGGGCCTTCTTCGACCCCTTCCTGACACAAATGTACTATCTTTATATACTGGTACCTGTTTGGATTAGGGCATGGTTGTCCCCCTAAAGCTCATGGGCCTCTGTGCATTGCACAGCCTGCACACCCTAAATGGTTTTCACTGTCAAGAACTGAGTTGGAGAATTGGTGCAATAATGGTTGTGTCTGTAAAGTGAAACATTGTTGTTTCATTAGAGGCAAATCTTCATAGCAGCAAGTTAAGGTGTTGAGGTTTATGTGCTTGAGAAAACTAAATACATACAATAGGTATCATAAGAGCTAGAAAAAAAAGAAGGAAATTTATTAGCAATAAATAGGTTTGAGATAAAAAGATTGAAATAGTTCTTAAAATTAATAAACGAAAGTTACGATATGGAAGAATGAAAATTTGAAAAAAAAAGTCCTGAAAGTATACATCTGGAACAGAAGAGACATACTGATATTGAGATAAGAAATAAATGATACAAGAAAAACATGTCAAAGAACATATATGACAATTCTTTTCTGCAGAAGAATATGGCAAACAAAAACTGTGAGTGATTCAACAAGGAATCTGCATTTGTAATTTGTCTCTACAAGTACATTAAGCTTCATGTATTTTTCAAGTGTTTTCATCTGGTAGGGTGGAGGTTAATACTTTTGCAAAGAATAAAATTACAAAAGTGAACAAAGGTTATTAAGATATGTTTATTTTAGAAATCATATAAATGATAAAAAATATATATAATTCAGAACAGAGTACGGATAGCTTTAAAGGAATAAGTATTTTAATTAGAAAAATTAACGCAGGTTTTTGTGATTAAAATTACTGTTCATCCCCAATAAATAGTTCTGAAAAGTAATTTTTACAAACTTGTACCCAATTATTCAGTATCAGATTTGTAATTTATTTTAGGCAGAGTAATTAAGCATTTGTATAGTAACTGGTAATATCTAAGTCAAAAATTGACAATGCTTTAAACCTGAATGTGAAAAGTCTGTCAGCTTAGATTTTGTAGTTGTAGATTAAATTCTTCATTTTTGTAATAAGGTAAGTTATGGATGCTATGCTTAGGTCTTTTACATTACAATTTATTGATATTTTGTAAAGGGAGAATGTGGTTAGTGTTTTAGTTTAAGTGTTGTAACTAATAAACCTTCATATTTAGAAGCTTTTTTTTTTATAATTTTCTTTTCCAGGTTACTAAATCAACAACAGATGTCAGTCATCTCAGCCCTCTAGCAGCAAACCTTTCTCATCAGTATGCTATTGTTGCCAATGATTCCCGTGGAGCAGTTAGTGCCACTTCAAATTCAGAGGTATGCTTGATTATGTTGAGTTGTAAGATAAGTATAAATTCTTTCGAAATTTTTGTTTATTCTTTTAAGTGTTCTTTTAATGATTCTTCAAATTTAATCTACTGTTTTTATTATTAAATAATTTTAATATTTTTTATTATATTATTTTACTTCTTCATAATTAAATTACTCCAATTTTTTTAGTTTAATTTATTCTCAATACTTTCTACTGTTAGATTTTAAGTGCACACATGATTTTGGACTTAGAATATATATTCTTTAACTGTAGTAAGAGTACTGTAATAAAGCGGAACGTTATTTAAATTATTCCCAGTCAGTTTTTGTTTGTTCTATAGGAATGGCACATTTTTATAAAGATGGTATACCCATATAAAAAACAAGTAGTTTGAAATATTTGATACCACAGAGATATGTCAGTAGAAAATGGCACATTTTTATGATATATTTTTCACACTCGGTGCACCAGTCTATATACTCCATCAATTTTGTGCCATTTTTGAACATGTACACATCATGTGACTACTCTCCACCAATAGTATTTCACCACCTGTATTGATGCAGCTAGCTCCCTCTGCTATTCACACTCAATCGTTACTTTCATGATTGGCCCAACTTTGTGTTTTTTTGCATGTGGTTACTGTTTATGATTGGGCTTATTTGCTATTTCAAATTTTTTTAAACCGTTTCTTTTACTGTGTTTGGATTCAGTTGTTTCAATGATATTTTTTTGCATTTGTTTCTTGTTATGGAATTATACGAGAACTTCTTATGAATTCACAATTCAATGTATCGATTACGGTAGTTCCTGTTACAGTCAATAGTGGTACTGGTACGACTTCCCAGGAATCAGGTTTGACTTTATCTGCAGAGAACATACATGCCTTAATTCACAGGGAGCTAGATTCATATGTTTGGCCAGCAATTTCTTCTCCTTTTCAACCTCGCAATATTGCTGAGGAAGAATACAATCAAAGAGAAAACTATTTGGACTCTCTTTTTCTGGCACCTTCTTATTTTGGTCTGTCACACTGTACATGAGATTGAACCTTACACACTCTTTTTTTACAGTTGGTTACTCAGGTTAACAGTCAACACATACTCAGTTTTTTCTGTATGTTCCAGACAAGGTTGATTTTGCTAGTTTTCTTTTTCCTGCTCCTGTTGCTGTGCCTCCATGTCGTTCACTTTGTATATTCTTCTCCTTCCTTCCTATTGCTTTCAGATCTCCTAGTGGATCGGTGGTAAGTTTTCGACTTGTACACTTCGCACCTGTTTGCAATACAAATGGTAGGCATGGCTCAGATGCTCTTTGTGATGGCTTTGTCCTTCTTTTTATATAGAATAATTTTGTATTTCATGTCATCAGTGCTTGGACTTTGGTAAATTAAATATTTATATGTCCTTTGTCTTAAGTTAATTTAAATTTATTGTGAGTTAGATATTGAATATTACTTTGTTTTCCAGGTAAGTTTATTCAGTTTACACGTTCATTATTATTATTATGTACTTTGTAGACTAGGTAAATTTCTGTATTTTGTCAGTTCGACATTAATAAGTACATTGTCAATCAGTTATGTTTAGGTAGTTTGTACCTTATATATCATTCCTACTAGTAACATCTGATTCAGTGTTCTATCTGAATAAATTTTTTTTGTCATTGTTACATATGTGCCTTATAATAAAAATTTTCATCAGTATAGGACTTAATTTTTTTGCATAGATACATTGCTGGGATGTTTGTTTCTTTCCCATTTCTAGTGCTGAGCTTTGCTTCTATATTTCTTATATTCTTGACACTAGAATCCAATTTTTCTCCTTGTACTCTACAATTTGGTATTCATCCCCACAGTACTCACAATGTTGATAGTTATTTATAGCTAGAAGTCAAGTGTTCCAGTTTAGGTCCCTACTGTTTGGACTAACCTCAGATCCTTATGTGTTATGTCAGGTGGTAAGAACCTGTGCTCGATATCTTCATTCAATGGGTATTCACACTCATCATTACATGGACAACTGGTTCCTACTTGCTTCTTCCCATTCACTGTCCAGAGACCACACTTGTCTGCTCCTACTAGAAGCAGCATGGATGGGATTCCTGATAAAGGTGGAGAAGTTCATACCCCCACTCAAGACCTTATTCATTTGGGGTTTTTCTTCAATTCCAACCTCAGTCTGGCCCAGCTTTCTCCTCTTCATCTTCAGTATATAGAACAAGCAGTCCACAAGATCCTCACCTCACATCCTCTCACAGCTCGTGAGGTTCTATCTTTTTTAGGGGTGTGGACTTCCTTGGAAGCTCTTATTCCTATGGGTTGAGCTCATACGTGTTTCCTTCGGTGAACACTTTTCGATCAGTGCAACTTGTTGGATCCCTTGGACCCACCCATTTACCCTTCCTTCCCCAATCAGGGCTGGCCTGGCTTGGTGGCTAGACAGGGCCAGAAAACTGCAGTGGTTCTGCTTCCTCCACCTCATTCAGATTCACATCTGTTTGTGGACACATTTTAGAGGGTTGTGGTGCTTACCTCAATACTCAGGAGATTTCCAGTCTCTGGTCAGTTGAGGAGTCTTCTCTCCATATCATCAACATTCTCGAACTTATGGTGGTTTGTCAAGCTTTGTCTCACTTACTTCCTCTTCTGCAGGAGAGGGTGGTTATAGTACACTGACAACTCCACAGTGGTCACTTATTTCACCAACAATGGGGTACCAGATCCAGTTCTCTGTGCTTTCAGACCCTGGATTTCCATTTCTGGGCCCACAGTCACTATGTGGTGGTCTTAGCTTGCCATGTTCCTCGTGCCTTAAATCTGGTTGTAGATCGTTTATTTTGGCCCAACAAGATTCTCCCCATGGAGTGATCTCTCGATCTACGGGTCTTTCGGTGGATGTGTTCTCAGCAGGAAACACCTCATATTGATCCTTTCACCACCCACTAAAACACCAAACTTCCTTCCTGTTCCACACCCACTAGCTCTGGGAGTGAACACATTCACCCAAGATTGAAGAGGGCATCACATCTATGGTTACCCTCCTATTCGACTCCTCTCCAGAGTTCTATCCTTAATCCAAACCACTCCGTGTCTAGTCCTCCTTATGGCTCCGAATTGGCTGGCACAACCATGATTCCATCGATGTAAGAAAAATTTTACCATTCAGTTGATTTAACATTATATAAAACAATTATGGAATGAATTTATTTTTGATAAACATTTTTTAAGCAAAGTCTTTTATAACCTTTAAAAAATTTTAAATTTCTAGCATTTAAGAAAGTGTCCTGAAGGAATACTTCTAATAACTATCATTTAAGTCTTTTACATATTGAGTAATACTATTGTCATTCAAATGGCTTTCAACAATATCACTATTCTTGTGCACATCTAGCAGCAAAACCTTATGGACATGACAAAAAAAAACAACTGAAAAGCAAAACACTATCTGACTGTTCAGAAATCTATATTGATGGTCTAAAACTTTAAATTTCAAGGATTTTTATATTTTGAAAAATATATAGATGTGTCTGAGATGTGTATGATTAAATTCTGTTTATTAATATGCAAAATAGAAAAACTTGTCTTACAATACTTAGTCAAAAATAAAGATTTGTCCATCAGTGTTTTATAAAAGAATTAGAGCTTATGAAAAAAAATCTGGATTGTAGTCTCTCAGAAAACAGTATTGACGTGTTTTGTTTTTTAGGTTGCAATTCGAATCCGAACAGCTGTGCAGGACTTAGGAGCAGCATGCATAGACCTGACCAAATCTGCTGGTTCCTGTCAGAGCAATCCTAATGATGTTTTCTGTCAACGAGATGTAGCTGGAAATGCAAGAAATGTTTCAGAAAAGGTAAATGCCAGTATCAGTTTGGTTTAAAGCCCTGCATAGAAAGCTTTAAAAAATAGTTTATTTTAATTACAATATTAAACATGATTATCTATCTTGCTACCTTTAAAGTTTTTTTAATAGATGAGTAGATAGGGTAAGAAAAAGCGGAGATCAGCTAATTTAATGCTGCAGACCTATACAGGGATGATCCTTTTTTGTTGATTTAAACACAATACTGGCCATTCATGAGATCAGTACAACTTTGATGAGAAAAACACTGTAATACTTGAGGGGGGGAAGTTGGAGACTGAAAATGAAATTATTTCATATATGCCACAGGGGATCTTTTTTAACAGTCTAAATCAGGCTGTGCTCTGTTCAGTAGATCAACACCGTATTAGAAGTATCCCATTGGTGGTGGTGTGAAAATACTGCAGAAAGTCAATGATGAAAATGCTTGCAAGTTATTTGAAAGTATTAAAGGTTTAATTTAAGTGAATAATCCGTATGTGAAAAAACATCATATTGAAAGAATAATGTCCTTGAAAGAACTAAATGTCCTGTTGTGGAAAGTGTTTTTTCCAACTGTTGTTAATGTACAAATATAGTAGGTACACAATATAGAAGTAGTAATGTTAATATTAATTCTGCATGAAATTCTAAACATCAAAGATAAAATGCATTATATTTTCTCCAAAAATAACTAATTTTCTATCCTCTTTCATCCTCCCCTCCCCCAGACTGTAGCACTGATCATGGATTCAGCTGTGCTTGCCCTTAACCACCAGATTTTTTCAGCCTGACCTCTTTTCATCCTTGAACATATTTCTTCTTCATTTTGTGGAAGAATTTTGTCAGCCATAAATGTAGATTATTTTTGGCACAAAACTGTACAGTTTCATCTAAACTGTGAACAGCTTTAAAATTACTAGGTTTTGGTTTATAACATAGAAATTATTTTGAGGGCTATACAGTTAATGTTTTACCTTTAATCTGACAGAAAGCATCTTACCTACCAAACATACCTAGTTCAAAAACCAGGGTCAGGGTCCGAGATACAAAAAAGTTTTTAAGATTGGCTTCTTATCAATATTTTCCTCTTAATATATAATTATATATTGTTTTTCATGGAGCAAAAAAAAAAGCTTGTATGGCTAAGAATAAATTGGGAATACATAATTTTATCAGCATTTAATTTTGACAACAGCCTTCGTAATTTCCATTTTAAAATAGTTATAGTGTCTTGTCATTAAAGTAAGAAACAATAAAAAAAAATTGAAATGACACAAGTCATTTTTTATTAGCAGTTTTCTTCATTATAATATCAACATTTGCTTAAATTGTAGTATGATATCAAATATTTGTGTTCGGTGGTAAATGTTATTACCCACTGATAGACTTTTTTTTTATATACTCCAGGCATCCTTTGTTTTAGCAGCTCTCCAAGCAGGTTCTCGAGGAACTCAAGCTTGTATTAATGCTGCTAGCACTGTTAGTGGTATCATTGGAGACCTGGATACCACCATTATGTTTGCTACAGCTGGAACTTTACATGCAGAAAATGAAAATGAAAGTTTTGCTGATCATAGGTTAGTTTTGAATTTTTTAAATTGTTTTTGTGTGTTTGTTAAAACTATTAAATGCTTAAAATAAACTAACACGTAGGTCTGTTTTATATTTTCCTAAATAATAATTTTATAGACAGATAGTGCATAAATGATAACAGTATAATATAAATATCAGGCCTAAATAATAATAACAGTACAGTACACAGATCATACCTAAATAATATCAGTACAGTATCCAGATCATGCCTGAATGATAATACACTTGTTTGTGTGTCTGTTACAGAAATGATGTGTGCGTGCATGCATATTTAGATAGTAAGCTGCGTGCACATTATCGTGACAGATAATAACTGAGTATTATTATAATAGATTAGTAGAGACCCGCAAGACATTTGTGCTCAGATTATTGTCTTTATTGCAACAGTACTCCTTTAACTACAGAATGTCTAGAATAATACAAAATAATTCTAATCGCAGACACTGACATCTTGTCATATTATAATTCTGCTTGTTGGTACGCCTTATAAACATGCGCAGTAGAAATTTACTCAGAAAAACGGTGCAAGTGCCTGCCTATGCCAGAGATGTGGAAAGCTCAACGAACAAGTCACTACAAATGCTCTATTAATGAAGGAATAACAAAAAAAGATGGATATAAATATTCTGTATTAACCATTTAGTACAACAACATTAAAAGCTTGAGGTTTTCAAAAAGGTTTGATGTTAGGTCCTAGAATAACATGGGTTTTTTATAGATTGTATTAAGTACAGTATAGTTTAGTCCTAACTAAGCTAATGTAAAAAACATACATGGTACAGTGTTAATTTATCTCTCTATTGAATTTAGGCCTAACATTAGTTAAGATTTTATAAAGTACAGAGTACAACCTAAATACAAGTGGACTTGCACATTTCAGTGTCTACGATTACATTTCATTTATATTATTCTACAAATCTTGTATTTAAAAAATATTGCTGCAATAAATATACTAATTTACAGCAAACATTTTATCGGTCTCTGCTGGCCATTAAATAATACTGTAGTTTCACAACCATGCCTAAATAATTTTAATGCAGTTTCACAACCATGCCTAAATAACAATAGTGCAGTTTCACAACCATGCTTAAATAACAATAGTGCAGTTTCACAACCATGCCCAAATAACAATAGTACAGTTTCACAATCATGCCCAAATAACAATAGTGCAGTTTCACAATCATTCCTAAATAATGATAGTGCAGTTTGACAGTCATGCCCAAATAACAATAGTGCAGTTTCACAGTCATGCCCAAATAACAATTGTGCAGTTTTTCAGTCATGCCCAAATAACAATAGTGCAGTTTCACAATCATGCCCAAATAACAATATTGCAGTTTTACAACCATGCCCAAATAACAATAGTGCAGTTTAACAGTCATGCCCAAATAACAATAGTGCAGTTTTACAGTCATGCCCAAATAAAATAGTGCAGTTTTACAGTCATGCCCAAATAACAATAGTGCAGTTTCACA